GTAAGAATTTTTGGGTCTTAAATTATGCTTTTTTTTTTTTGAATAGTTAAGAAATAATGTTGTGTACAACTATATACAGAATGCAATATAATATGGTGACAAATAATTTTTAAATGTACCCATATTTTATATTTTAATAAATAAAACTAAAAAATAACAAAAAAAAAACGAATTTGACATGTATTATGTACATATTTGTTAAGTTTAGGTTTTAGAGTTCAAAGTTGAAAATACTAATTACAATTTTTGGTTATAATTTAGGAATAGTTTGTACAGGGAACTTCCATTCTATTTATACATATTATGTATACAGATTTAATTGGCAAAAAAGTAAGCAAGAAAATTTTATGTGATTGTGCATATTTGGGGGATTTGTTTACAGAGGAGATCTTTAATAACGAAAAAAAAAAATATGAATATTTTATATAAAAAAACAAATATGTTATTCAAATATGAGGAAAAAAAAACAAACTAATTTTTCATGGTTGCCAATTTTCTATGTCTTAAAAATAAATAGGGGACAAATTGGGAAATTATTAAATAAAAATTTCCATCGTACTTTTAATAAATTTTTGTACAAATTTTTTTGAATGTTGGTTTTAATATGCAATTATAATAAGGGGGTTCAATATTTTAAGAAAACTATAAAAAAAAAATTGCGAAAATTTTTTATTTTTTATTCAAATAAAACAAGTGGAGTTAGTACGGTGTAACTACGGTTTTAATTATTAAATGGAAAAGTTTAATGGCCGTAAATTTTAAATCAACTATACACAAGGAAAAACAATTATCTAAAACCTAATTTTGGGTTTTAAATTTGTGACCAAATGTAAGAGTTTGCAGCTTTTTGAGAATTTACCTTATTGGACTCAAAAAGGACCTCGAAAATATTATGAAAATTAATTGTAATTTATAAAATACTTATTTTTAAGAAATATTAAATTTTAATTTTTAATCCCATAAAAGATGTTGAGAATTTTAGAAGAACTTAATATTAAGAAATCCTTTTCAGGTTAATGTAAGCTGGTCGGTCCCACCTAATTTTGTTTTATTGTTTCAACTGAATGAAAAATAATACTAGTGATGTATCAAGATAATTATATCATCGCTGTAACAGTGACATTTTAGAATTACATAAGAAAAAGTAAAAGACAGCACTGTCATTATAAATTTTTTGACAATCATACTCTAATTACATTTTAAGAGATAAATCATGATAAAATTCTCTAGTATGATTATTTTTGATGATTTCTTTCTATTCTAATTTATTCAATTAATTTCACATTTTTTATAAAATTTTATTATTGACAAAAGAACCTGAAAAGCGAAGACGAGGAAGCTTCAATGAAACTGCTGGGAGAGGAGCGTGGGTCTCACACCTAGTAGGGGACACAATAGATCCTTATATGCTGGTTGCGGTGCGCTGCTACGCTAACTGTACAATCTACTATCTAGTGACGAAATTTTATTAGTGTGTATATTGCTTATTAATTATTAGACTTTCTCCATGTAAATAATTACATTGTAATAGTGAAGGAATTTACATAGTAACAGTGAAGGAAATCAATTTGTTGGCCGATTTCAAAGCAATCAGGATAAATTAATTAATACCACTGAGCAGTTACTATTAAAATCGAATTAAACTCTGAAATTTATAATACTTTGGTATTTTAATTCAAATTCGTATACAAAATTAATACATTACTAAGCATACCTACATACCTGACTATTAAATTAAAGAAAAGTGAAAATAATTTTAAGAATTTTTTCTCATAAACCAAAAAGAAAAAAAATTTATTCAAATTTCATTACACAACTCTTTTACATATTTGACATATTCTTAATCTTGAAATATGAAACATCCAATTTTTGACATTATTACCAAAAAAAAAAAAAAAAAGTAAAAATAAAAATTGGAATACAAGGAAACCGGTATGAAAAATTAAACAACAAAAATTTTTTTTTTGTTTAAAAGTAAAAAAGATTGCATGATTACTCTGTACTCCTTATAAAAAAAAACAAGAAAAATAAGAGAGAAACAACAAAACAAAAGCAAAAATCTTTTGTTTATTTAAGCGTTTTCCGTTCACAAAAAATGCATAAATAAAAGTTTACATAATTTTTTGCTTTCTTTTCCATTTTTCTTTATTATTTGCATCATCATTGTAAATGATACAAAGAATATATATATGAAAAAAAACAAGAAAAATCAACTAAAAATGACAAAAAAAAAACAAGTAAGAAAAACAAGGATTTGCGCATATAATCACAATATTAAAAAAAAATACACACGAATCCTTAAAGAGAAGAAAATAAGAAGAAAATCAAAATAAACACAAAAAAATAAGCACAAAAAAACGGAATGAAATTATCAAAAAAAAAAAAAATGAAATATAAAAAAAGGACATAAGCTCCTTTATTTTTTCTAGAGAAAGTTCAAGAAACTTTTCGATAAATTTTTATTGCATTTTCGTATCCTTACAAACAGCCCTATAAGATTTTTCCATTTTTTTCTTTTTGTTGTTTTTACATTTGTATTTGTGTAAAATTTTTTCGTCGTTCATAAAGTACAGTTAGTACAACTGTAATGGTTCATGTTTCTGCTTTTGTTTCTGCCTTTTTCGTTTTTTTGGGGAACAATAAAAATAAGAAATCACAAAAAAATAAAAAAGTATAGAAATGGTATAAAAAATATAAAGAAAAAAAAAACAGAAAGTAAAATAAGAATTGTAACGAGAGAGGAAGAAGGAAGCACAAAAAAAAATAAGAAAAAGAAAAAACAACAAGAAATTTTTATTTTCTTTCTTTCTGTTCTTTTGATTTTATTTAGAGTCATTGGACGACGAACATACAAGATGGATAAGATTGTGAAAAATATAAAACAAAAAAAAAAGAAGCAAAACTTAAACAAATACATAGAAAAGGCAAAAAAAAAACAAAAAATTCAATTGAAATTTTCGGATACTACACCAATACATTCACCCGCCGCATTCATCATTAAAAATAACATTGAAAGCTTTTATTTTTTTCTTTTCGTTTCTTGTTTATTTTATCGTATTTTCCTTTAATTGATTGATTTTCCCCGCAAATTGAAATTTTTCTTTCATAAATTTTTGGCATTTTTTTTCTTTTGTGTTTCTTTTTGTTTTGTGAATCAACTCTTTAATTCTTTAACCTCTTCGAAATTGAGAAATAAAATTGACAGAATTGGCGCGTTATGATATCTAAAAGGAGTTGTGAAGGAGAATGTGACTGGCTATGGGGTAGATAGCAGGATATCGGAAGGAAGGAATGGGATATTGTGTGTGTTTAATTGAATACTTTAAAAATTCCGTTTTCGGTTATGTTTTTTTTTTATTCTGTTTTTGGTGCTTTTTTTATGTAAATCGGCTTAACTAGTTTTGTTTCTTTACTTGTTTTTATTTCAGCTTTCTTAAATTTTTTGATTTATGATTTTTAAGGTTTCAGATTATTTTCTGGTGTTTTTTTTTTTGTTTTTTTGAAACAGTCAAATATATTTATTTCATTTGGATATTTAAGCTATCCAAAATAATGTTTTGGAAATTGAATTAAATCGGTTTATATTACATGTATGTAATTGTATTATTTATGCTTGTATAGGTTTTTTTTGTCAAAAATAAAAATTCGAATTAATATCAATTCGGATTTGTGTAGTTGTAATAGATAAATGAGATTGTAGGTATGCGTATTTGAAATTAAAAGGATTTGGTTTTGTCTTGATTTTACAGATTTTAAATTAGTTTATAGAAAAAAATAACTTGCATTAATAAATACTAGGATAATTTTCTTGTATGTTGCTTTTGCTTTAAAAGAGTTTTGAGAAACATTGTGGGTCTTCACGTCATGATAAAACGTTGTGTTGTGTGGCTGAAGCCTTCCTTCATAATATTATCTCGATATGCCAATCAATAATTAGGAATTTTTGTTCGAGAAAAATTTTTTTCTAAAAAGAAAATCTAAGAGGAAATGAAGAAATAACGTAAAGGAAATGTGAGGTACGTTTAGAATTTGATTGATTCTGGTATTCCATTTTAATTTATGAAATTTATTAAAAAAAATTTAAAGTTTTAGAAGTTTTAAGTATTTTACTGAAAATATTTCAACTATTTTCCAAAAAGTGCATTGAGAATGTTGATATTTCTTCGACTTCTCGGAAATGTGCTATTGTTAAAAATTATGAAAAATCCCCATTAAAGATGGATTAAGGTATTAAAAATGTCCTTTATTTTCTATTGATTTTCTATGGTTTCTAGATCATTTAAGAAGTTTAACGAAAATTCCCGAGGAAGAAAGTTGGACTCACCTTCGATTAGTCGGAAATTAAAGCTTCGCCTTATGATTATGAATTTCTATTATTTACGTGTCTATAAATTTGTATAATTATTTGAGCTTTATTGAATTATATGAGCATAAAATATAGTTTTTGAAATAATTTTATTGAATAAGAATAAAAATAAAACTTATTGTAATAATTACTGTAATTGTAAACATGCATAAAATGGTTTCTAAATATATTGGAGGTACTTAAGGAATTATGCAATAAGCTAAGATTTATAAAGGTTTAAATTCGATTATTTTTAATATTTACATGCATTTCTCCAATTTTGAATTTGAATTTTTTTTTAATTAATTTAAGGATTTTGTTGATAAATTATGTTTTATATTTTTGTATTTTTTTTTAATTTGCATATTCTAAAATTATGCAATATAATTATGATTTAATTTTTAAATTAATATAAATGTATATATATATATAAAAAATATACATATATAATAGAAGAAGTCACAAAAACTTATTTCTAAATTAAAAAAAAAAATAATTTGTGAACATCAAAAGCTTTTAGTGGGTTTTTATTTTAATTAAATATAAATATATTTGTAATAATATATTTATACTTAATAATTATATTTAAATAATATTTAGCAACAAGATTAATAAAAAGAAGAAAAAACAGATTACAATAACAAAAGTTACTTACCGAATCGTGTGAATGTCGGTAGTCTATTGTATCACCAGATTTATCATCACTACGTTCCCAATCAATTTCCTTTTTTAAGGACTACAAATTTAATAAAAAGTTAATGAAATGTAAAAAAAAAACTTTGTGAAGATTTTGAACTTACTAATGGCACCGATTGAACTGGTCCTAAACCCGATGGTCCAGCAACTGGTTCCGTTGATATAATTGGACTACTAATACCACTACTGGTAGCTGTGTGCGTTATATTAACATTTCCTGTACCACTACCACCACTACGTGATGATGGTCTTAAATCTGATGTATGAAATGATGATGTTTGTGTATTTGACGTATTTAATGGAGGAACAACAACCGTTTGTGATGATGATGTATGACTAACACCACCATCATTACCACCACTACTAATACGATTGCTAATACTATCTCTTCCACCACTTTGTATACCATTATTTGAACTACTAGAATTAATGGTCATATTAATACCAATTGAATTTGGTCCAATACAATCATCATCATCATCAGTTGAATTATTATGTTTATCTCTATCACGTTCTTTTTCACGTTCTTTATCACCCAATAAACCACAACTTCCTGGTGAAAGTTGTTCATCATTAATAGTTGTTGGTGTTCTTGATAAACGACCACTAATTCCACCACCGCCGCCACCACTACCGCTACCACTACCACCACAGCCACTACCAATATTTGTATTACCGGCACCACCACCACCCATTGATGATGTTGATAAATCATGTTCTTCATCTAAACGCCTATGTCTATCACTTCGACTACTTGGACAACGCCTTTGATATAAATCTAATGGTAGAGGCGATGATGATGGTGCCGATGAATGTAATCTTTTTGGTGGTGAAGGACTACAACGATCATTTTCACGTTTAACGGCTAAATTAAAATTACTATTTGTTGTTGAAATTGACGCTAAAACAGAACTTGAATTTGTTGATATTTGAGTTTGCTGCTGTTGTTGACTTAATGACGAAGCACATATTGTACTACCGGTTCCACTTCCACTACCAATTAAATTTGGTGAAGAAGTTTCCATTGAACACTGCGGATCACATATAGATGAAGATGATGATGCTGCTGTAGCAGCTGAAGATGTTGGTGCTGCAATTGATACACCAGATGATGATTTAGCAGTACTAGATTGTTGTGAATGAGATGATCTTAAACGATCAGGTTCTCTTTCGGGTTCTCTTAATGCAGTATTTTGATTTGTCATTTCTGCTAAACCTTTCACCTAGAAAAATAATTTAATATTGTTAGTGAAGAAAGATGTGTGTTTAACATTATAATTTTACCTTCAGTGATTCCGCTGTCTTCAATAGAGCAGAGAGCTGACAATATTGCACGTTTACTTCGCCCTTATACATGAATTCTACTAATGTTTGCAGCTCGGATAGACGGACGTCTTTTAATATCACAATTGGATGTTTTTCGGGGTGGTCCAGAAAAAGGCTCTGGAAGTATGAGGAACAGGCCGAGAGGACCACCTGTAAAATAAAAAATAAAAATAAAAAATTATTTAGGATTAAAACAAAAATTTTAATATTAAATATTTTATGTATTTTAATTAATAGACAATTAAACTTAAATTATAAGATCATTAACAAAAGTTCTAAATAACGATTGAAAACATTTTCTTCGTATAATCTTAAAAGATTTGAACTTTTCATTAAACATCATACTTATTCATAACTAATTAGAAAACAGATACTTGCACGTATGCAGATGCTATTTTAAGATTTTTCTGACTTTTCCTGAGATTGAAGTTCGGCTATAGTATTGGAACATAAGACAAGTATAGGCAATTTTAAACAGCAAAAGTTATTTTGATATTAAATTGGTTCCAAAACTTTTAATAACCTGTCTACAAAGAGAATTTCAGTATTTTAAGATTACATTGCTAATTTTCTGTATAAAAATAATAAATGTTCGAAAGCTTTACTCAAATATGTCTATGAAAACAAAGAGCAGATAAAGCTATAAATTAGAAAGAATTATGAAATTAATCTTGAGTGTACTTGTGTCGTTCATAATTTTTGAGATAGAATAGTTTTCGAAAAGTTTTTAATGAAAATTTAATCGATCCTATTCCCACGCATAACTCATGGGCATTTATTGAACAATTAATACGATGAATACATCTGGCCCCAATATCTGTTTCCTATATCTTATATGATTAATAAATTATATTACAAAATCAATTATACATACATATACATACATATATACTGATTATTATATTTTCTATTTTTTTTAAATTTTATTATACAAATTGTTAATTATTCATACTATATTGTGTATTTAACTGTTTTATTTTTATACCCTGCACTTCGTGAAGGGTATATTAACTTTGGTATGGAGTTTGTAACTACTTGAAGGAGTCATCTGCGGTATGGACATATATATATTCTTGCTCAGCGTAAAATTCTGCGTCGATTTAGACATGTCCGTCTGTCCGTCCGTCCGTCCGTCCGTCCGTCCGTCCGTCCGTCCGTCCGTCCGATCGCACGATAACTCAAAAACGAATAATGCAATCGACACCAAACTTTCACAAGTTTTTTCTCTTGTGCCAAGGACGAGCCCTATTATTATTGGACTAATTCGGACAACGGGTTCGGGTAGCTGCCATACAACTCAAAGAGTTTATTTTAAATATTCCAAAAACTAATAAAGCTATAAATATAAAATTTTGTATACATGTGTCCAATTGTATTCTACACATGCTCTAGAAATTATAATGGGATAGCTGCACCGGTTCGGGTGGCTGCCATACAACTCCAACAGCAAATTTTTTATATTCGGCAAAATAATAAAGTCAGATTCATGAAACTTGGCAGTCATGTGTCCAATTATAGGTCAAATATACTTCTGAAGTTTTAGAGGAATTGCTTTACAGGTTCGGGTACCTGCCATACAACTTCAGAAGCTAATTTTAAATATTTGGGAAAATAATAAAGTCAGATTCATGAAACTTGGCAGTTGGATGTCCGATTATAGATCAGATATATTTGTGAAGTTTTAGAGGAATTGCTTCACAGGTTCGGGTACCTGCCATACAACTCCAGAAGCTAATTTTAAATATTTGGAAAAATAATAAAGTCAGATTCATGAAACTTGGCAGTTTTGTGTCGAGTTATAGGTCAGATATATTTCTGAAGTTTTAGTGGAATTGCTTGACAAGTTCGAGTAGGTCCCATACAAGTCTGAAAGCTTATTTTAAAAATTTGGAAAAAAAATAAAGTTAGATTCATGAAACTTGGCAGTTGGATGTCCGATTATAGATCAGATATATTTGTGAAGTTTTAGAGGAATTACTTGACAGGTTCGGGTACCTGCCATACAACTCCAGAAGCTAATTTTAAATATTTGGAAAAATAATAAAGTCAGATTCATGAAACATGGCAGTTTTGTGTCGAGTTATAGGTCAGATATATTTCTGAAGTTCTAGTGGAATTGCTTGACAGGTTCGAGTAGCTCCCATACAAGTCTAAAAGCTTATTTTAAAAATTTGGAAAAATAATAAAGTCAGATTCATGAGACTTGGCAGTCGTGTGTCCAATTATAGGTCAGACATATTTCTAAAGTTTTAATGGGATTGATTGACAGGTTCGAGTAGCTCCCATGCAAGTCTTAAAGCTTATTCTTAATATTTGGAAAAAAAATAAAGTCAGATTCATGAAACTTGGCAGTTGTGTGTCCGATTATAGATCAGATATATTTGTGAAGTTTTGATGGAATTGTTTGACAGGTTCAGGTACTTGCCATACAACTCCAAAAGCTTATTTTAAATATTTGGAAAAATAATAAAGTCAGATTCATGAAACTTGGCAGTCGGATGTCCAATTATAGGTCAGACATATCCGTGAAGTTTCTATAGAATGACTTCACAGGTTCGAGTAATTGCTACACAATAACGAAAGGTGCAGGGTATAATTCAATCGGTTTATACCGACTGAAACGTTTTTACTTGTTTTATATTAAAATTTTCAGAAAAAAAAACAGAAAAAAAAGCAAACAAACAATTAAAATAAAAATTAGTTATTAGATTTTATTCAAGGTCGTTTTGAGCACGACTTGCGTTTAAAAATATGCGCGTTCAAATCAAATTAAATATACCGTGCTCCCTCTATTTTAATAATATTAATAAATTTTTCAATTTAATCGAAAGGTATATTTAGTGTACAAGGTTAGTTTTAAAAATTTTTTGTCAAACATTTTATATTTTTATATTAACAAATCTTTAGATAAGCCTTTTTAAAATCTTACACGAATTAGCAAGATTTATTTTCGTTTGAATGCGATTGTATTCTGATTGCTGTTTGTGTATATCTAGTTTTTCCACAAGTTTGATATTACGATTTCAAACTAATTAATAGTTTCAGAATTATAACACATACAATATTTTATTAGGAAGAGTTATCAATCAGAACTGTCGCAGAAATGTGAAACATTATTTACAATTCTATTAGTATAAAAATTAGGTCTTTTCAAATTTCGTGACTTTAAAAAAGGAACAAATTTGAATTTACAAAGGAACAAATTTACATTTTAATTAAATTTTAATTAAAATGTAAAAATAAAATATTTTTTACAAATCTGGTTAGGATAGAATATTGTTGAAGTACCATATCATTTGGTCTTCAAACATGCTTTTGTAATAAAATTGAAATTCAGAAAAATAGTTCAAAGGTAATCAAACAACCAAACCACAACCAAAAATGTTTTAGTGGTTTTAAAGAAGTGGGAAAATATTAAAATTGGTAAGTCAAATTTTTAGTGAGCGGGCTTTATTTTGACGGTATACTGAAAATTGCTTTTTCAACGAATAATGCTTTGTTCAGAAATATTTCAATCATACCTCGTACTCTTTTTTTATTTAATGCAACAAAACTTCACTTCTTATTATCGATTTATCGCATCTCAAATTGTATAAGAAAATAAAATTAGAAAATATATAGAATTTTATAATAATATTTTTTTGTCTGTATGTATACGAGTAGCTTATAATAAAATACTAGAGATAATAGAGGGAATTTTGATTGTCATACAATACAATTTAATGACAGATTTTTAGTAGTAAAAACTAATAAATTTACATAAAAAGTATAAAATCATGCGCTTAAAATTGCATTATTTTTTTCCCTCTCAATAATAATATTCTTTTGTTTTTTAAAAGATAAAATTTTATGGAAGTAAAAAATATAATAATAATTTTTTTATTAATTTTAACTATAAATTATATACACATACATATACATATATATTATTATGGAGTGTATGTGTACCATTGTACAGGAGACAAACATGCATAATGTACACGTCTTTTTATTTATTTTAACATGACCGGATCTTTTTATAATTTTTGCAGTTTTTTTGAATCGAAAATAATGCAAGTAATGTAAGCTACTGTAGCACAAAAACACAAACAATCTCATGTTAATCATGATTAGGAAAGAAATTATGTAAAACCAATCGATTATAGTTTGCCTTGCCTATTAAACATTTTATTTAATTTGCAATTGTTTGTCTTATAGTGTTAATTGAAATATGGATTAACAATATTTTATATTTTTGTTGAATTAAAAATAATAAATTTTGTACTTGTATGAAATTCGAATATTTATGGTTGAAAAAAATTTCAAACCTTCTAGATTTACTTATTAATGCAAATGAGATTACAATTATTATTTTAGGCCAATTTGCTTTGAGAAAAATTCCAACCTCAAAAAATTTTACTATTGAATATATTGCATTTGTTTTTAACAATTATTAAAATATTTTAGATTATCTATATATGTACGTAAATTTAAAATTTTATAAATTTGATATTTTAAAAAATTTAAACGTGCAGATAAAATATTGGCATTGTCATTTTGTTAAAAATGAAACACTTAAAGGTTTGACATTATTTCTGGGTTATCGAAATTTTTGGGCGAAAATTATTGTTTTCTTCTAAAGTTGTTTAGTCTAAAATTTTTTGGTTCAATAGCACTTTAAGGGAATATTTGAGTATTTTGAATGGTATAGAGGTTTTGTAAATCGGGCGAAATCTACGGAGGTATTTTTGGAAAAGTGAAAAAATAGAGATTATTTATTCAAGTGATTCTCTTATTACCATATATATTTGCATACGTCCAGGAGGAATTTTAAAATTAAAACTAAAGAAAAAAATTAGAAACATTGAAATATAATACATATGTAGATTCCGTCTTAATTTACTTAAGATATTACCATGAGAGAAGATTGCATGAGAAAACAGTAGATGCAATATTTTTACTCTCGCAGACATACTTTCGATAAAGCTGGTAGTGCAAATAGACTTTCTTTCAATAAAAAATATATTGATTAATATTTTTTATAAATTATAACAATTTTCAACAAAGAAGAACTTTTCATTATTTTTGTTTGTAAGAATTGAAGTATTAAAAAAATTTTATTTCTTGATAAAATCGTATTATGAGCCAATATGTTTGAGGAACCAATTTCT